TAAACAACCCTTTGAAAAATCATACATTAGACACAAACCTCTCTAATATCTAAAAATTACAATCAACCTCTTAAAAATTTCAATAAGTACAATAAACCTCTGAAAAGATCTGAAAATTATAAACAATGATTATTTTAGGTTTTTTGCTAAAAAATGTTGGGGCTTAAGTGAAAAAATGTAAAACCTATTGAGTTATTAAGGTGTACTTTGATCATTTAACTACACATGAATTAATGATGTTAATTTTGAGGATTTTCATAATTGAGGGTTTTTTTTCTACAATAGGCTTAAGCTTGAGGGGGTTTCCTCATATTAAGATAGTTGAGGAGGTTTTTCTAGATATAATCCAATATTTTTTAGATATAACATTATAAATCTCATTAAGTAGTGATTATGAGAAACACTTTTAAACTTTTAGATCTTATCAAAAAAAAGTCCCTCAACTTTGAGATTTTATTAGAAAATTCCCCTAAGATTATTGCTTTTAGAGTGGTTTCCCTGATAAAATCTCAAGCTTAAAAGAATTTTTTATAACCCCTAAAGTTTAGTGGATTTTATGATATTATTAAAGTTATGCGGGATTATCTGATTATCATCCAAAGTTAATGGGGTCATTTTGTTGATATTTAGCCTTTAAAATATTTTACTTTATTCGCATAGTTATCTGCACTAAACATAAGATATATCGTTTGCTTAATAATTGACTATATCAAATAGAAAAAATGCAATATTTTACTATATGCAACCAACTTAGTGGAAAAGGGTTTTTTTATGACTAAAAAGTAGTTTGAAAAGTGAAAACTTGGATATTTAGGCTTTTAAAATGTTCAATATGTATGATAAGTAAAAGGAATTATGTATATAAAATTAATCAAATAAGGGCCCCTAATTTGAAACTAAATTCTAATTTAATGCATTTCATTTTAAATATTTTACATTTATAATATTATACTTTATAGACACATGCGAAAAGTGGTATAAATTAGTTTTAGCCATATTTAAGTTCTTCTGATGTTTTGATCATTAGATGTTCAATATATATCATTTTAAAATACTTAGAGTCTTCACTAATTGCTTCTGATGTTTTGATCATTAGATGTTCAATATATATCATTTTAAAATACTTAGAGTCTTCACTAATTGCAAGCCCTTGAGATGTTCAATAGGTATGTTGGTTAAAAATAATTATGAGAGTAAAACTACTCAAATATATGTTGCTTAAGTTTTTTGATATTTTATTATGAGATATTTAATATATATCATTTCAAAAGATTTAGGGTCTTCACCACTTGATAGACTTGAATGAGAATAACTATATCTTATCAGAGTAACACTAGCCATTAGATGCTATGAAATAGAGATGAGTATTAATAGAAGGTGTAACTGAGGCAATTGAGCTGAAAAAGTTCAAAATTGTAAGAGTAATCGAATGAAATGGAGAAGGATCTTCAAATAAATAGAAATCTCATGCCCGTTAAAACAATTAACATAATTTAAAGACATGAGCAAATCTCCTGTTATGTGAAATAGTCAAAGTTAGCTATAAAAAAAAATTTATGTCTCAAAAAATAACAAGTTACTCTACCAAGAAGTACATACTAGCATAAAATATATTCATTAACTATTTCATAGCTTGCTTTGACAATCTAGAACATAAACATATAGAGTATGGTAGTATTACCTTGGAAAAATTCTTATAGTTAAGATCCATGATAATTAGTATATGATCTTTCGTTAGAAAATTATTAGCCTCATGGGATATAACATTAAAGTAAAAATTAATTATTAAAATTATAAGGGTATAAAATACTGTGAATTTGTGCATATTATAAGATGAAAGCATAGGATTGCGATGAGAATGAAATTATTTGCATAAAAATTATTTTTTATAAAAGGATATTGACATTCATGTATTATTTATTGTAAATTGTACTTAATGTGAATTGATTGTGTAATTTTGACTTTGGTTATGGTAAATTTAATACTTTTGATTAACTATATAATATATAGATAATAAATTATTTTATGTTTTCACGTGAAGTAAAAAAGAAATATTTCACAACCGAGTTACGTAAGAAAATAGAATAAAAAAGATAATGATATTTTAACCACGTGCAATGCACGTGCATCCAATCTAGTATAATAAAGAATGAGGTTGGGGATTAAGCTGTGAGTCATTTAATCAGTGCGTCATGTTAATATGTAGGGGCAGTTCTAGCATATAGAGTGTGGCGTCAAGTGTCACCACCATAACTCATCATACAATTAAAGAAACATATTTGAGCTTATAAAGTAATGTAGCACTCTAAAAATTATTTGAATAATGAGTGATTATACAGCTCTTAGTGTCTTTTACAAACGAGTTTCTGAAATAAAAAAAAATCAAATATACTTATTATATAAAAAAGCGAATCACTCAATATATAATGATGTGATTTAATTTTAATCAAGTGAAAAAGAATCAGATAAATACACTTAGTTAAATTTTAGCTATATCATTTACATAAAACAATTTTCTCATATGACATATGACATCCATTAATTTCTTTCTAAAAATTACCTCTTAAATAATTTTACAAATATAATAAAGAATGAGGTTGGGGATTAGGCCGTGAACCATTTAATTAATGGGTCATGTTAATGTGTGGAGGCTGCTCTAGCATATAGAGTGTGGCGTCAAGTGCCACCACCATAAATCGTCATACAATTAAAGAAGCATATTCGAGCTTATAAAGTAAAGTAACACTCTAAAAATCATTTGACTAATGAGTAATGACCCACTTACTCTTAATGAGCTAAAGTTAAAAATAAACTTACCTAGATCCATTAACTTAAATGGGCCAATTCACCACATATCAAAGAGCAACCCATAGCATAAACTTTGGGGGGAAAAGATTCATAAATTTACATTGAAAAGGATTTATCTACTGGTATTTTAAATGATCTTATTATGCAGCGATTTCAAAACGCGAAGATATATAGAGGGGCCAATTGTAATAGTATTTAGTCAAATAGTTTTTATATCTAATTAAAGTTTATGATTATTGAGTGCCAGGAAAAAAAACATCCTTTTACGTATATTATGACACCAATCACCAATGTCATGGGTTCCTGACTCCTTCACTATTGATGTGAGGTGTGGGTCTTGATCCCCTTTGGGTCTCATAATACCATGAATTTAGAGCCAGTTCAGATTTGGGTTCAACACCAATGAATTATTTGAATTTGAACCGGATCCATCTAGTTCTAACTCTAAGCATATCCATTTTGGTCTCGGTTACAATCAAACCCAAAAAATGAGTTCGTGTCCAGTGAAAAAGGTTTGGCTCCATGGAACTAGGGTTGGTGGTGGGCTGGGCCGATTCAGGCTCATGAACCAGTCTTGCAGGGTTTATGCCATATCGGGCTTGATTCAGGCCCGGTCGGGTTAAAGTGGGTCGAACCTACTTCTCTGACCCGGTGCCTGACATTGGACCTAGCCTAGCCCACGACCCGCATGGATCCAAGCCAACTCCGATTAGACCCAATGCGGTTTGGGTAGCGGGTAGGCCCAATGCGGTTTGGGTAGCGGGAAGGCCCATGAACTGCATTTTTTTCCTTTTTATATTTTTCTTTTTTATCTTTACTTGTATTAATATTTATTAAACTATATTTTGATTGAAGATAAATGTCATCTCTTTGTTATAATAAAAGCATTAATCGTTAATATATTTTTAAAATACTTGTTACCTGAATCTTTTTTCTTGAGTATTGAACTTCTAATTATGACTAGAAAAAAAGTTGAATAGAATATCATCTAAGGATGGAAAAAAATATATAGTTGTATCCCTTACACTCTTAAAACCATCTATAGGAAATAGCTATTGCATGATCTTTTTTCTCTTTAAACACAAATATATCATATGATTACTTATTGGATGCCACTAACTGTGAACTTTTTTCATATTTACTCTACTAAATATTATGATATCTTTATTACTTTATTTGAAAGTTTGAAATATATCATGTAAGACATAAATATTGTAACTCAAAATTTGTAGTGAGGTTGTCTGTCTCTATTTTCTTGCTAAATCATATTTCCGACATTGATATATACAACTAAGTTACAAACATTGAGTATTTACAACATAACTAACATTTAAGAGAAAGATTTGTTCAGATGAAAATTTAATCTTAATTTCACGTGTCTTTGTATGTGCAAATACACTAATTATTGTGAAAAAAAAATATTTATTTTTCTAAAAAAGCAATGAGTTACATCTCATTTCACAAAGTAAACTTAAATATATATGAATGATAAGGTTCATCGGTTTTGTCACCAGTCTATTTTTTGCTTCTCATACTAAGCAAAATGTGCTACCTATCAATTTCCCCTAAAAACATTATTCATTCAAACACTAAAAGTGTGGCATCTAGCAAGAAACATACAAAATGGGAGCCATTATGTTCCCATACAAAACTATGAAAAAGTTTTCCGAACAGCCCAAATAAAAAGGGTAGTCATTAACTCTTCAACCCGACAAATGACACACTAGGTTTATATATATATTTTTATTTTAAAGATGAGCTAATTTTGTGTTAGGCTGAAATTTCAAAAAACATTATCATGGGTCAAGGCTGTCCGGGACGAGCCTAAGCTGGGCTAGGTGGGTCGGAACTACTTCTCTGATCCTAGACCTATAGCTTTGGGTTCCTGGTGCGTTGGGCCCGGCTGCACCCGTGGGTATATCATGTACCGGGTCGCGGCGCCGATCACTAGCCGGACGCCGGGTCGCTCGGTCGAGTGACCCATGGAGCGGCCGGGCGCGGGGTCAGCCCGCGGATATGGACCTAAGCCAACCTTACATGGAGCCTACACACTAAAATCTTGCGTAAATTCTTGATGGAAAAAAAGGAAAGAAGAACAAAACCCTTGAATCTTGCACCTTCAACGGCTAGTTTTCTGTAAATAAATCAAGTCCCTTCTCCAAAACACCCCCCCTTGCTTTGCTCTCCAACGGTCATATTTTCCTTGCAATTTCTCCCGATTTCAAAAGAACAAATTTTCACTGTAGCCTGATTTTAATTTTTTATTATCAAAATCGACTGTGTATCCTTTTATTTACTGAAATCGACCGGTTTTCTCGCCACGTCAGCGTCGTGGCGAGAAAGCTGGTCGATTAATTTTTAATCGTCTTCGTAAACAGTCGGGGTTGGCAACCCCGACTGTTTAGTCCATCGCCTGTTAAGAGGTTAACTAAATGGTCGGGGTTGGGAACCCCGACCATTTAGTGAAGCTGTTAGCGGGCGCTGAACTAAACAGTCGGGGTTGCCAACCCCGACTGTTTACGAAGACGATTAAAAATTAATCGACCAGCTTTCTCGCCACGACGCTGACGTGGCGAGAAAACCGGTCGATTTCAGTAAATAAAA